ACAACGGGGAAATGACAGCCTCTTCATCTGCTGGTGTTGGCAAAACTGGACAGCTACATGTAAGAGAATGAAATTGGATTACTGTCTAACCCCATACACCAAAGTAAACTCAAAATGGATCAAAGACCTGAATGTAAGTCATGAAACCATAAAACTCTTAGAAGACAACATTGGCAAAACTCTCTTGCATATAAACATGAGCAACTTCTTCATGAACATACCTCCATGGGCAAGGCAAATAAAAGTGAAAGTGAACAAGTGGGACTATATCAAACTAAAAAGCTTCTGTATAGCAAAGGACACAATCAGTAAAACAAAAAGGCATCCTACAGGATGGGAGACTATATTCATAAATGACATATCTGATAAGGGGTTGACATCCAAAATATACAAAGAGGTCACACACATCAACAAACAAAAAGCAAATAATCCAATTAAAAAATGGGCAGAGGATCTGAACAGACACTTCTCCAAAGAAGAAATTCAGATGGCCAACAGGCACATGAAAAGATGCTCCACATCGCTAATCATCAGAGAAATGCAAATTAAAACCACAATAAGGTATCAATTCACACCAGTTAGGATGGCCACCATCCAAAAGGCAAACAACAACAAATGTTGGCGAGGATGTGGAGAAAAGGGAACCTCCTACGCTGCTCATGGGTATGTAAATTAGTTCAACCATTGTGGAAAGCAATATGGAGGTTCCTCAAAAAACTAAAAATAGAAATACCATTTGACCCAGGAATTCTACTCCTAGGAATTTACCCTAAGAATACAGCAGCCCAGTTTGAAAAAGACATATGCACCCCTATGTTTATTACAGCATTATTTACAATAGCCAGAAATGGAAGCAACCTAAGTGTCCATCAGTAGATGATGGAAAAAGACATATGCACCCCTATGTTTATCACAGCACTATTTACAATAGCCAAGAAATGGAAGCAACCTAAGTGTCCATCAGTAGATGAATGGATAAAGAAGATGTGGTATATATACACAATGGAATATTATTCAGCCATAAGAAGAAAACAAATCCTACCATTTGCAACAACATGGATGGAACTGGAGGGTATTATGCTCAGTGAAATAAGCCAGGTGGAGAAAGACAAGTACCAAATGATTTCACTCATATGTGGAGTATAAGAACAAAGAAAAACTGAAGGAACAAAATAGCAGCAGAATCACAGAACCCAAGAATGGACTAACAGTTACCAAAGGGAAAGGGACTGAGGAGGATGGGTGGGAAGGGAATTATAAGGGCGCAGAAAATGAAAGGGGGCATTACAATTAGCATGTATAATGTAGGGGGGTGGCACAGGGATGGCAGTATAGCATAGAGAAGACAAGTAGTGTTTCTATAGCATCTTACTAAGCTGATGGACAGTGACTGTAATGGGGTATGTGGTGGGGACTTGATAATGGGGGAAATCTAGTAACCACAATGTTGCTCATGTAATTGTACATCAATGATGTGCAAAAATATATATATATCCCATTTTTAAGTTGGATATTTTCATGGATCTAAAAACAGTTATCTTTTTCTTTGCTCTGTTCAGAAAGCATTCCCTTTAATTTTTTCATCAGTTTCTCAATAAACCACATTATCCTATCACTGTCACTGCACACAGACCTCTGAGTACTTTCTTGCTCCACTTTCTGATTTATCCCTTGACCTAGCAGTATTTGATTGCTCTATTCAAGAAGCATAGAAGTTCCTGTTACTCACTGAGGAGTTTCCTTTCTGCTCTCCAACCTACCAACCACTACATTTGCCAAGTTAATATTCTACTTACCATAGCAATTTTAAAGCAATAGATTGAATACCTGCATGTGAAATTCTTGACAAGAATTAGATTTCAAATTTAATTTCTTTTTGGCTGGGTGAATTCTAATCATTTTAACTTAAAAACCAAAATAGAATAAATGTTTACTCACTTATAATTCTCTCTCATTTATAAATTGGTCTGAAAGATTTGTTACTAAAATAAATCTACTACCTAACAAGCCAAGTGATGTCATTCATATTTTAGAGGCATAAAAATTATTAATCAGTTATTGCAAACCTAACATATCTTTATATAAACACAAAGATGATTAGCTCTTCTTATAGAACCAAAGAATTATGTTTAAACAGGACTGTAGATATAAAAATATATGCTAGAAAATCAAAGAAGCTCCTAATGTGGGTGTCCTTTGTGTCTCCAAAAACTAGACAACACAGATATTAGACATAATGTAAAAAAACACAGTAAGTTCAAATCATTTCAGTATTTAACACATGAGCTTTCTTTTGGCTGAAGGTTTTCATTTTATTTTCAGAACTAAGACAAGTCAATGGAACCACTGTGACACAGAAAATTTCTGAGGTTTTTTTTTTAAGCATAAAAAGGTCTCTTATATATTGGTCCTAGAAGATACACTTATCACAATTTCCTCAAGAAAATTAATATAAGAATGTTTTTATGAGATATAACTAGCTACAATTTTCTTCACCATAAGCAATTTTTTAGTTTTGTTTGCTAAGACTATGTCTACAAGGAACCTAAACAGTCAATTAAGTCAAAAATGTGCTCTGTTCAAGTGAAGAAAAAAAAACCTTACTGACTGTCTGACATTATGCATACCAAGCTGAATAGATGTATACTAACTTTGCAACTACTTGTTTTCATAACATGTTTACAGAGCCCAAAGAGCTTTCTAGATCATAATGTTATATTTTAGAGAGCAAAACTTATTTACTATTTCCAGTACAGGCATGATGAAGAAATGAGTCTTTGTTATCTTATAAAAGAATTTATAGTATATTTAAAATTTACATTATTTCAGAGGTTTAAAAATGTTTTAATACCTGATATGTGTATTACTTTTCTTCTATTTTAATTTGCATAACATTCCTCAGTGATTAAGTTGTAATCTGGAGAGACAGTCTTAAATGTGATCCCCATACTGACAGTTTAAAGTAAGAACAGAGATTTTACTAAGAAAGTTGTGGCTTAAAGAGGCTGAATAAAACTAGGAAATCCTCTCCCTGATTGTCTCCTGCTGTTATCCAGCGTCTTCTCTTCCTGTAAACAATCTGAAGTAATGGACATTTATGTCAGTACAGACCCATCCTTGTACATAATAGACACTCAATGAAAATTTCTGAGTATTCCTTCTGTGGGCAAGAGTCAGAATCACAAATCACTAATGCAGAAAAACAGGCAGGTATATAGGAAGAGTCATTAGAGACAGCATGGAGGGATGTCCCAAAAGGAATATGAGGGCTCTCTTCATAGACCTGAAGGAGGGTTGGGCACAAGGAATTAAACTTCTGCGTGATTCAAATAAAGAGTGCATGCCAATCTAAAAGAAAGGGCTTCCTAACTGTCAAAGAGAAAAGACAAGACTATCTCAGTCACTAATAATGTCCAAGTAGAAGTTGGAAGGTCGGTTGGCAGGAAACCACAGAAAGTATTTAAGCACAGACTAGGATGTCCTGAGGGTCCTTCTCAGGTGAAGTCTACAAAGATGAATCACTCCTTCTAATGATCAACTGAGGCACAGCAGACATTTAAAAGAACTGAGGTGGCCGTTGACCTTACCTCCATTGTGGAGGTTTAAATATTATAATGGTATCCTGCTTTCCTACCACAGACCAGACCAAACTAGTTACAGCCCCCAAATTCACCTCAGTCTGTCTGAATCTCACCTGTAACAGAGCAGCACTTAGAATTTACCATGGGAGCACGTTGATAGCAAGAAGTAGATGCACTGGGAGGCTGGATATGCTTAGTAGCAGCAGCCATAGCTAGAAAAGAAAAAGCTAAATGAAGCTAAATGAAGCGTAGAACATAAGATATTGTAAAAAAAAAAAAAAAAAAGGAAATAAGACTTTGTTCCCACTCATGAAATCAGAATAACAGGAGAACAACAATCCAGTGGGCCCACATGTTGCTAAGGCAGCCAAAAAATACAGTATTGCCAATAGACTAGAACAAAAGTAGCACCATTCTGAGGATTGCAGCATGAACACTGTTGTGCTCCATCCAGGACAACTGAAAGAAAATAATCTTCTTGTACTTAGGATTCTTTATTCCTGTAAGATATTTTAAGAGTACATGATAATTAGGTATATAAACACACACACATACATACACACACATGCACATAATGAAAGGATTCCTCCCATTGAGTTAATTAACATACCCTCCACCTCATGTATTGGGTACAACTTTCAGTTATAAGATGAATAAAGTCTGAGGATCTAATGTATAACATGGTGACTGCAGTAACACTGTATTACATAACTGAAATTTTCTAAGCAAGCAAAGCTCCAAGGTTCTCAATTTTTAAAAAGCGAATATATATTCAGAAATATTAATCCAATTAGCAATAAATCAATCAGCTTAAGAATTTGATGGCAAATGTGAAAGGTTTGTTAGCTTCATTTTCAAAGCACCAATTAATAATTTTGCATTAATAAAATATATTAATATAAAATTATGCAGTCAGAGTGCCTTTCTGTATGAAAAATATTCCCAGGAGTATTGAAATAAACTTTCCAGAGCCAGCAACTTTCTATTGAACTAGTTAATTAGCTAATTAACTAGTTTATTAGCATGTTTTATTCACTTTGTTCTTTTGTATCCAGAAAAAGGCCTCCATTAAATAAGGATTATTGATTGAAAGTTATTCACTAATTGATGGAAACAGTGTTTTAGAGCTTGCAAATACAAAATTCAAGGTAGTTGCTTAGTGTAAGAAAATCAGTGGACTGTCATACAAACAAAGTCAGAATATCCTGTGGAAGTCACCTGACCAAACAACTCAGTACAATGAAATCCTCACTCCATCTGGAAGCTCTTATTCTGGAACAAAACACCAAAAACTCTATCCTAAGCTTTACCTCAGTCCTTAAATTGCCACCTGCTTCTTAAAGGTACCTTAACAGAACTGCACCCCCATATTTATTTTCTACTCAAGACTTTTGGTTTTCAAAAGTCTAAAAGGATATAAACACCTAAGTACAGTTGACCCTTGCACAACTGGGGGATTAGGAACACTGATGCCCCACCCCTCAGTCAAAATTCCAGGTATAACTTCTGACTCTTCAAAAACTTAAATAGCCTGTTGACGACCAGAAACCTTACCAGTAACAGTCAGTTGACATATATTTTGCATGTCATCTGTATTATATACTAAGTCTTACAACAAAGTATGCTAAAAAAGAATACATTTTTTCAAATTGTCGCAAATCTTCCAAAAAATTTCCAATATATTTATTGAAAAAAATCCACATATATTCAAATCTGTTCTGTTCAAAGATATACTGTATTAATTTCAATGATAGACCATATTTTTAAACTCAAAGCATTTCTGCTGGCTAAGGCAAGTCCAGTAATAATAAACCTTATTACTAAGATCCTCATATTCAACAAAAGACTGCTATTTGGGGAAGATATGTAACTAGCAATAACTGGTTCATTTTTCTTTCATAATAAAATATGTATTTTAGAGTCAAGACCAAAAAAAATCCACGTGTGGCATATGAATGTCCCTAGCTGAATCACCTCAAGTAAGGATACTTACTTTCTGGAAGAGTCTGTTTTCTGTCCTCCTAGTGATGAGCCATTTATCTGCAGCACAAAAAACCCAGACTTACAGCCAGACAAAAGTATTTAGAATGTCATATATCAGGACTCAATTTGTCAGGGCTGTTAATTTCAGCAAGACACAAAAGATAGATGAAATGAGACCTAAAAAGAACCTAATGGCAAGAGATCTTCAAGTCTGCTCAAGAAGAGTGTCCAGTGGGTAATAATGAGTTGAGCAAAGAGCACCAGAAGTCCAAATAAAAGAACAAGCCAACTGAAAATTTAGCCATCTAATAGTTTATGTATATCCAACTAACATTTTCTGAATACCTGTTAATTACCAAGGATTTTATTGGATTCTAGGGATAAAGAGATTATCAAGACATGGGCCTTACTAATAATGATAGGCATGTACAAAGTGATACAAAAATTCCACCTCTACCACCTACTAGCTCAGTTTCCCCATAGGTAAAGGTGGGACAATAGTAGTAACTGTCTCATACAATCGTTGTGAGGAATACTAGATAACACTTGTAAAATGCCCAGTACTTTACCTGGCACATATTACTGCTTTAAAAATCATTCTTATTCACTCATGAAGGGAAAGGTCACTGAAGACATCCTGGGACAGGTGATACTCAAACTAAATCTTGAAGAATGAGTTGGGAGTTTGCCTGGTGAGTAAGTTAAAAGCTCTGCAGACAGAGACACCAGCAATGTAAGGGCCCAGAGCCTATGGTTTTGGAGGAGCAGAAGAGTTGTTTCTGTTTGAAGGCAAGAACAGGAGAGAGAAAGCCAGGTCTGGGTTAAGACAAGATTTGGCAAGAAGCACTTTAGAAAAGATCAGGGTTAAACAAGAGTGTCTTCACTGAAGGGTAGTGGCTCCACCAGACACAAAAGAAAGATGTGGTGGAATGTGACATAGGTTCTTATTCTGAGAGAGCTGCCAAAAAGAAAGGGCTGCTACGATGGAATTGCCTCAAGTGAGCACTTCCAACCCTGTCACTAATCGGCCACAGATTTAGTGTGAATAGAGAGTGGCCATCAAACTGCCAATATTATCTAACTCCCCCAGCAAGCATCTGGAGCTCAGCAGTGGAGGGGACACAGGGCACCAAAGTACACTGACAATATAAACTGTAAAGCTTCAAAGAATGAAGAATAGGCTCCAGCCAGCACAATCAATCCAAATCTGTCAGATGAACAAATTAGAACTCAGTGACAAATTCACTAGTCAATGTTTTAATGTAATAGAATATATATCTTATTTCTAATTAATTCCAAAATAACAAAAAATACCACAGGAAGCTTCCTGTTATAACTTCCACAATAAAATATGAAATTACCCCCACACATACACACAGCCCTACTCCAAATTCAGCACTATTGCAAAGATACATCAAATCTAAGCAACAAAACACCAATGTTCTACCATTTGGGGTCTAAAGACCCCAAAAAATTTCTAAATAACTTTGAACATTAAAATCTCAGAAGTCTTTTCAGATAATGGTTCTATTTTACATGTACAGAAAATTTTAAGTGAAATGTGTTTGCCCTTGGTAGTCAGAAAGACCCAAGTTTTACTGTTGGACCAAGGTTCAAATTCCTCACCAGTGACTTAACCTATCTATATGGTGTCAGCTTCCTCATATACAAGGTGTATAGATGGTATCCATATGTCTACATGGCAGAATTCTCATAAGGGTAGGATGTAATGTATATAAAATTCTGATATGTTGTTAGCTCTTAATAAATGGAGGTTATTATTATTATGAAATTCTGTCAAACCCAATGGATGGTAGCACCAGAAAATCATTTTATCAATAATAACTTGCAATCTAATGCTCCAAATTGTTCTATATAAGTTCCAAGATACAAACTGCCATCTAATTAGCTCATAGCTAGCTCAGAATACAACCTAATGGGAGCTTGCTCTAGATGTATGCAGCTGAGTTGTAGATGAAATGGCTTGGTGGAAAAGCCCACAAGCAGCTTATTATAAGCACACAAATATCACATTTATAAGAATTTTATTTTTTAAATATGTGATGCTGAATACCAAGGAAAACATTTCAGCCTAACCAAAACCACATAGTACTAGTCTATATTATACCTTAACAACTGACCAAGAAGGAATAATATATAAATAGCTTTCAGAGAAAGGAGGCATTTGTATCCACAGATTTATTTACTTGGTTTATTTATTTTCAAAACCTTGGAATGCAATGGAACTGTAAAAACAATATGATTAAAATCGATAGAGCACATCATTTGCTGATACTATTGCCCAAGAAAAGGCTATAAGCCTTAGGCATGTTATTACTAGATTACACAATTTCACTGACAGGTTCAAGATTTTTAAAAGCAACTGAGAATAGAGAGGACTTCTCTTCTGGGGCCACGGGATTTTTCTCTTTAATTAAAAGGAAACCATCATGTCTCTTTTTTTTAATGATAAAGATTAAAAATGTCCTTTAAAATATTTTTAAAGTAATATTAATTTTTCCATTGTTTCCTAAAATAAAAATAGATTAGTGATCTTGATTAAGTTAAACTGAAAGCTACTTTTGTTTAACAATACTGTATCCAACCACATATCCATTTAACAAAAGCTAGAATAGTTCAGGGAATACTGGTTGTAAGATTATTTCTGCAAAGTCCACTCAGAAGAATATGAAACCCCAAAAACAGGAGCTTCTAAACCTCTTCTGCAAAAATGATCAATGAGTCTCTTTTCAAGTCTTAGTGATGAAATGATAAACTTTTAAACAGGCCTTCAAACTCAAAGAATGCTTTTTAATCAGATAGCGAAAGTTAGTCATGTAGCAAAAGTTAGTCATAAATTGATCTGATAAAAACTGACCAAATAAAACTGAACCTAATCTCAATGAGACTTTTACCTGAGTCAGATCTACTACTGTATTACAAACAGAAAATATTGCAAAAGTTTTGAATTGCCTTATAGTGAAAATTCCAAAGGAGAAACATCCTCTTGCAGCTAAGAAAGCTGATGGAAAAAAACTATGCAGTTTTATGCCTATGACAGAAAAAAAACTTTTTGACTAGAAGAGGTGAATGATTTTAATCATAAATCTTGATAGGAAATACAAGGCTAGGCTTAAAGAAAGAAAAAACTGACCCAGGTTTATTGCCTATATTTACTAGCTTTTACCAAGTGAATATAATAAAGTCTATTCAGGGAAGCTTGGGTCTC